CAGGTAGCGCCCTTGCTGCCCAGCCTGGCTGCGACTGGCCTGGGGGCTGGGATCTGGCCTCTCAGAGACCTTCGCCCACTCCTCTGTGGAGCGCACTGCCCGGCACCTCCTGGCCAGCACGCCTGGCATTGGAGCTGCTGGGGGGCATGTTGGGGTAAGGGGGTTTGGGGTCTTCTGCCTACCAGTCTCGGGCACCACACACAGGACCCCAGGCCACTCCCACAGCAGCAGCCTGAAGCAGCTGAGCAGTATAAGATTTCTTCAAGATCTTAAACGCCACAATTTTATGATAGTGGATTCGAGGGAACGGGAATGTTTGCAGAGCCTAACCAGTGTAGAAGCTAAAATCCTGGTCACTCCTGAGCTCATGCCACATGAGACAGTGTCTTACTTCTCTTTTTAAACGTGGTTTCCATTCCTTCTTTGTTCCTTCTTCGTGCAAAGCTGTTGCAGTTTATGCATACTGAGAAGCTGTGGAGGAGAGCATCGCTCTGCAGAGAACAGTGCGCCGTCGCCAGGGCGGCAGGCGGCAGGCAGGAAGGCCTGTGGATGCTCGCATTCTAGATGTCCTCACTCATGAAATGACCTGCCTGACGCCCCTGCAGCAGTAGCTCCCTGTACAGGTGGATTTATGATAAACTCTAGGACTAAAGAAAAAAGCATGTCATTTGAAGCCCAAATCTTGCTAAAACCCGCTACTACTCAGGAAGTCTAGCGCAGGTCTGTGTGCCACTGCGTGTGCTCGACTGGAGCTGCCTGGGCCCTGCGTGGGTTGGGCTCCCGGGCCTGAGAGAGAGGAAAAGGGGGTGGGGGGGAGTGGCCAGGCCATGCGGGCCCACTCTTGGGAGTTCTTCCCTGCACGGCCCAGGTGCACAGGAAGTCATGGGTGGGCCAAGTGGGCAGGCCCCAACGGGAAGTGCTGGAAAGTATGTCCTTCCGAAGTCTGTGCAGAGGGTGTGAGCACAAGCTGCTCACTGAGGGCTTCTGGGCGGCCGCGTTTGGTTACTCCTGTTCACTTACAGTGATAAAGGGGCCTGAGACTTTGCAAAGTTTGTGTGAGGATTTGCCTCTCCTTTTGGGAAAATACATAAAATTTTAAGAGAAAAATATTCACCTGGTCCTTGTAAAAGACACATTGGAATTCCAGTCATTTTTCTTACAACAGAGAAGTGATGTGACTCTCCTTAAAGGAAAAGAAACGGAGAAGATATGTAGTGGAAATACACATATGGGGAGTGGGGATGGCAGGCTGCCCTGAAAGGGAACAGATTTTCCTTCAAATCAGAGATGCTGCTTGGAGCCCAGACATGGTGGGGTCATCTGGGGCTCAGCTGATGGGCACACGTGTGTCCTCTCCTCCTCGGACACACAGCAGCACTGCTGCCCCTGCTCACACGCGTGTGGCCTGTTCCACATTGAGACATGGCGATGGTCACATGGCTTCATGGTTAACTCGCGATTCCCTCAACCTCAGCCCCACTTCCACCTGGAGGCACCGGGCCATTTTCACGCCTAGAATCAGAGGAAGGGTTCCTTGCTATTTGGGAGGGCCAGGGGTGTTGGCAGAGTAGACTTTCGGCGCCTCAATTCAGAGTCCATCCCGCGTTCATTGCCTGTAGAGCCTGCTGCACATCAGCCTCTGACCGAGCTGTGTGCTTGGCCCTTTGTATTGGGAGCCGGTCTGAGCCACCACTACTGTGTGTGTTGGACCAGTTCCCAGACCCCCTTTCGCACCTTTCTCCATCTGCAGAAATGGGGGGAGGCCCACTTTGCACAGGAGTGTTGTGAGGGTTTGGGTCGTGTGGGTGTCAGTAGGTCGGTTTCCTCCCTGTGCTGACACCTGTCTCTTGAATGTCACTGCAGCAGCAGCTACATATGACACTGCCCCGTGGAACGAGGGTTCCCAGGTCCCAAACCACTGACAGGCACACGTTCTATTTTGGTGGCTCTTGGCACAGGTGGGCCATGGCCACGGGCACTCGGAAAGGACTGCAGTCCTCTTCTGGTAAAATACAGCTCTGAGAAAAAGGCAAAGCCCAGCTCAGTTAATAAGAGGCACGCTTCTTATCGTTCCTAGAGCGCTTCCGTGCTTGGTGCATATAATCCAAATCCAGGTACCTGATGCCGGCCATTACATCCCCGAAAATCCGCACGTCAGCATCCTCATCCCCAGGAAGTCAGCTGTGACTGTATTTGGGGCAGGGCTCTGAAGAGGTAATTAAGTTAAAATGAGGTCTTTGTGGTAGGCCCTGATCCAATGCGACTGGTGCCCTGGTGAGCAGAAGAAATCAGAAAACACACATATGCACGCGCGTGCGTGCGCACACACACACACACACACGCAAGGAAGGCCATGTGAAGACACAGAGGGCAGCCATCTCAAGCCCAGGAGGGAGGCCTCAGAGGGAACCAGCCCTCATCTTCTCCTTCTGGCCCTCAGAGGTGTGAGGAAGTCAGTTTCTGCTGCCCAGCCCCGGTCTGGTTTGGTTGTGGCAGCCGCAGCAGCTGGGCCAGTGCCATCATTGCCCACATTGATGGGTCAGGAAACTAAGACACAGACGCAGTCCCTTGCCCCAGAGCACACAGCTCGGATTCCCCAGGCTGTGTGCTCGGTCACTGCTGTAACCGCCCCCCAGGCTCACCCAGCGTGGTCTCAGGGACCCTTAGATCACGTTAGAGCAAAACAGGGCTGTTTTCCATGGTCTGGCTGCTATGTGGAACGTTCCAGTCTTGGTGGAGAAAATAAAACTCCGCATGGGCAGAGAGGGGGCCTCCCTCATTCTCGCGCTCCCAGAGCCTAAGGGAGCATGTCATCAATACCGCTCACGTGTCTTCAGCAGCGTGTACGCTGAGCTCTGTGTCCGCTCTGTGATCGTGTCCGGGTGGATATGCTCACGCTTGATCTTCCATAGTATTTTTTTCACGTGGCTTTTGTTATAAGTTTGCAGAGGCCCATTAAAAAGTTAGGTTTACATGTGATTTCTTGAAATGTTTGTTACCAGAAACTGGATTCTGCCCGGTGGTTTTAGCTTCAGGGTGGGAGCACTTTCTGAGGTTCAAGGGTCAAGCCTTTGAGGGAAGTTCCCGGTGAACTGCTGCCTCGGGTCGGGGAGTTGGGGGTCACCACGCTCTCGGGCCTGGGTGAACCCTCCGAGGTGGAAATCACCTAAAGGATCCGTTGTAAGATTTGTACGCTCACGTTTTGATGTGAGTGAGTTAACTCGGATAGAAATCACTTTTTAACTTGGTGTAATGCCCTGGCTTACTTGCTCTTGTGTTTCCCACACACTCGTGTGTACTCGCCATGGCACAACGGGGATCCAGGAACTGATGTGTTCACCTGAAAGTCACTCCACATCGGTGTGCCGTCACCGCACCGGCCGTCCGCGTGCCTTTCAGTCTCCTTGCTCCGCTGTGACGCCAAACTGGGCACGTGTCTCGGGTGCCAGAATCCTAGGCTGGGTGGGCCGCTCTGGATGGCAGCGCCCAACTGCCCGCATGGCGGGTGGTCACTGCGGCGTTCTCTTCCTCCTAGTCCTGCTGCTCAGGCAGGAGCAGAAGCACGGCCAGTGCATGGGATTGTTCTATCTTTACTCCAGTTTAAGGAGTAAAAGGAGAGAGGTACAAGCTACCCAGTGAAGTGCTTTAGTGTCATTTGGAAAAATAAAACAAAATAAAAATCTGCAATGGCTGCAGTTTCCACACCCTCAGAATCTGCACATGTCTCCCGTGGAGGTGGTGTGCCGCCCTCTGTCTGGAAGACGGAGGAGCATGGCCCCGGCCCCGGAGCACTCAGCCCGCTGCCCTGGCCGCGCTGCCCTCCCCCAGGCTCCCGGCTCCAGAAGGCTCAGAATCCTACGCATTCTAGGGGTGGGGGTGGGGGAGAGGGGGGGCGGTGAAGCATTTTTGCCTTACGGCTTTTCAAATAGTTTCTCCTGCTCTGGAAAAAATCAGTTTCACACTACAACCCTCACTCACTCACATGTATAATGGAAGCAACAATACTGTATTTGATGCACTGTTAGGTTTTGTATTTTATTTCCCTAAGAAAAAAGCAATACATACATATAGGCTGGTCACAACCCACTAAATTGATTTTAGGATCCACTCGTGGGATTTTAGTCACAATAAGAAAAATTCTGCCTTCATCACAGCCTGTTGTGGGAAATGAGCCTTGTTTTGAAAGAAAAGAATTGCCAGGTGAGAAGAAAGGAGAAGGGGACGGGTTTCTGCCAGGGACAGCCCTGGGAGGGCACGGTGCCAGGAGTGCCGGAGAGGGCGCACGGCTGAGGGGAGGCGGCGGAGCGCGGTTGGTGCAAGCTCCGCTTGGTGAGACCTGACCTTCCCTAGAACCCGTCTTTTGAGTTGACTCGTCCAGCTTCCTGCCCAGCACACAGCTGTGAGGACGTCGTGTCTGTGCCTTTATGCCTTCTTTTTCTGAGTGGCACAGGAATTCTCTAGTTGTTTCAGAAGGAAACTAACTTTCTACTATTTTGTTGTCTTTTGGGCTGCTGTTACCTAGCATTTTTTTAAGAGTAAAGGCAAGAGGTCAGTTTTAGCAGTTCTCAGTTTGTAGTCTTGGCAAGTGCTCATTGCAGCCATCAACATGTGACTTTCCTGATAGTGACATAGTGACCCTGGTTTGTAACCAGGGTGGATTCCCCCCTCCCTTTTTTTTTTTTTTTTTTTTTTTTTTACATTTTATTGATTCCGAGGAGGAAGGGAGAGGGAGAGAGAGAAACACTGATGAGAGAGAATCATAGATTGGCTTTCTCCTGCATGCCCCTACTGGGGATCAGCTGCAACCGAGCAGGTGCCCTGGCCGGGAGTCCAACTAGTGACCTGGTCATGGGTCCATGTTCAACCACTGAGGCACACCAGTGGGGCGGATTTCCCCCCTGAGTTTTATGGGCAGGGAGGTGGCAGCAGGGTGCCCATGATGCCCAGCAGCGCCCGCTGCAGACGTCGGTGCCCACTGAGCCCCTGTTGTGTCTCCACAGGCCTGGGCAAGACCAAGAGGAAGACGAGCGCGAGGGATGCATCCCCAACGCCCAGCACGGATGCCGAGTACCCTGCCAATGGGGGCGCCGACCGCATCTACGACCTCAACATCCCGGCCTTCGTCAAGTTCGCCTACGTGGCCGAGAGGGAGGACGAGCTGTCCCTGGTGAAGGGGTCACGTGTCACCGTCATGGAGAAGTGCAGCGATGGCTGGTGGCGTGGCAGCTACAACGGGCAGATTGGCTGGTTCCCCTCCAACTATGTCCTGGAGGAGGTGGACGAGGCGGCCGCGGAGTCCCCCAGTTTCCCGAGCCTGCGGCGGGGCGCGCCCGTGAGCAATGGCCAGGGAGCGCGGGTTCTGCACGTGGTCCAGACACTATACCCCTTCAGCTCGGTCACCGAGGAGGAGCTCAACTTCGAGAAGGGAGAGACCATGGAGGTGATCGAGAAGCCGGAGAACGACCCCGAGTGGTGGAAGTGCAAAAACGCCCGGGGGCAAGTCGGCCTCGTCCCCAAAAACTATGTGGTGGTCCTCAGCGATGGGCCTGTCCTGCCCCCGTCTCACGTCCCGCAGATCAGCTACCCGGGGCCCGCGGGCAGCGGGCGCTTCGCTGGCAGAGAGTGGTACTACGGGAACGTGACCCGCCACCAGGCCGAGTGCGCCCTCAACGAGCGGGGCCGCGAGGGTGACTTCCTCATCAGGGACAGCGAGTCCTCGGTAAGTGACCGGGGGCGTGAGTTCTGCCCGGCGCCAGGAGGTTCCAGGAGAAACAGTAAATGTGTGTGTGCCTGTGTGTGCATGTGTGTTGATGTGTGTACAGTGCATAGTGTGGCAGCCGAGCACCGTTCCTTTGCAGATTGTGTGAACAGACCAGAATTAGCAAGAGCGTCCCCGGGGCTCTTACTAAGACAGGTGAGTAGGACTGGTCAGTGTCCCTGTGTGAGGTGCGGCTCCATGCACCCGAGTCCGCGGTGAGTGTAGGGCCTCACTCCACGATCGCCACTTATTCCCGGGAGACACACACAGATACAAGGGTGAGGAAGTTTTTGGTTCGTGAAGGCTGTTTGTCCTCTTTACCAAGTTTCCCCTTCTGTTCTGAGGACCTAAACATCATGTTCTCTCTGGTTCCCATTGTTAGCGACCCTCGTCGGCCCTGTGGTCAACTCTGTCTCCACTCCGGGGTCCCAGACATGTCAGCTGCTCCCAGCTGGACGGGCCCTGGTTTCTGACACAGCCTTTGCTGGTTGGGTTTTCTTTGTAAACCATGTGCATCGTATCATCCTGAGGTCACCTTTGCCACAAGACACCGCCACCAAGTTCATCTCTGAGCAGCTTTGGAAGCATTTGTGAATGGCCGGAAGGAAAAAGGCAATTCTATGGCGAGATGAGTGAGTGCGTGTGTGTGATGCAGGGTCTGCGGCCACCTGGCCTGCAGCAGGGGCAGTGCCAGCAGTCGGCAAATTTGGGGTCTGTGTTTGGGGGATGTGTCTGAGCCTCTGTGGAGGAACTGGGCCAGGATCATGTGTGTGCGTGCACGTGTGTGAGTGTTTTGGAAATACTCAGCTGGTTTTGCAGGCCTCTTTGCAAAAACACCTTCCATATAGTTAGATACCACTGTTCCCCCAAAAAACAAAAATAAGAGTTCTATGGTTAGAGTTCATTGTGATTACATTGCATTGGTTCTGGCAGGCTTCCGTTTAGTTTTTTCAATGCAGACTGTACAACTAGTGTGTGTGTGTTATGTGCTGTAATTGTCCTCTGTAAAGATTGATGCCACAGTAAGTGAGTGCATAGTCAAGACTCGGGTGCTTGATCCGTGAGGAATTAAGGCCACAGAAATGCTTTTCCCCTTCAGAGGCTCGCGAGGCAGCTGTGATGTGTTCCTTTCTGAGGCAGCATAGCCCGTAGTGGTGGTGTCGGCAGCTTGTGGAGTTAGCGGCCTCCCTGATGTGTTTGGGCAAGCAGGCCGGCCTGATCGCTAACTGCATCTGAAATCTGAACTCTGAGCTTTTCTTATCCAGCTGCCAGAGTTCATCCTCCCTGGCAGGACATCACATTGCTTGGTTCTCCTGTGACATAAGCTCTGTGCTCAGCTCCCTTAGATCTGTTTGAGGCAGAATGACCCACAGCAGCACGTTTAACTCTTCTGAGCAGAAGTTCAGAGGAAGCCCTGGAAAAGCAATTACATTTTAAAGCGATGGATCCAGAGCCCCTAAGGGGTAAATAGTTCAGTGTCAGAAAGTGTAATCTTGACTTAGAACACCTGGGTGTGAAGAGACTTCTTAGAGCCGGGCGGAAGCAGCCCCCCAGTGTGGGGACACCAGCCCCATTCGTGGTGGCTCCTGTTGGGATTTGGGGAAGAGAGTCCTCGGGAAGAGGAGTGAGAACAGCGGCCTGCAGGTGGCTGGCCTTCAGGGGCCTGCTACTCTCCGTGGACGTTGCGTGCGGGCGGCGTCAGAAGGAAGTCCTTCTGGTTGGGTGGCCCTTGCCTTGTGCGGGTCCATCTGAGAACTGGCCGATGCGATGTCTTGTTTGTCTCACATTAATACAGACTAGGCTGACTGCCCCATAATGGAAACGTTGTTTACATTTGATTTTAACGTTCTGAGGATGTTTTAACGGCTTTCTGGTTGTGTGCACTGTCTTAACTTGCACCGTGAATAGTGTGCCTGGGCCTCCAGTTCTAGGGCTGTGGGAGCGACAGCCCTTCGTGGGGCCAGCCCCAGCTCTGCATCCACAGTCTGCCGGTCTGGAGATGCCGTGTGGCCTGACTGGGTGCAGGCTGCCTGCCCCATGGGTGTTGCTGTCATGCATCTGTCTGTGCCGAAGGGCTGCTGCCAGGCTGTGAGGCACGTGCTGCTTTGTCCTGACAGCAGCAACAGGCCAGTCGGCTGCTTTTCTCCTTCACAGCCTGTCGTGGAGCTGCCCGGATGGACAAGTGGACAAACCTTTGCTTATTCCTATCTCTCCGTCCGCTGCCTCTGCCTCTTGCGGGAGTCCCGCATTCTCTGTCCTCTCCCCGGTCCGTTTCCCTGCTCACTGGCATGTCTCAGGGGAGAGACTGCTCTCAGTCTCCACCAGGCCAGCTGAGGGCCTGGCCAGAGGCCAGCGCGCACCTCGCACCTCGCACCTCGCACCTCGCACCTCGCAGGGCGGACAGGGTTCGTCCTCAGCATTTCTCAGGGCTCGGAGGCACCTTCACCTGCGGGCCTTTTCTTTTCTGCAGCGTTGGGGCCTGGAGCCTTCCTCGTAGACCACACAGGACGCCTGGCCTGGGTAAGCTGAGCAGCTGTCTTAGAGCGCATCTTCAAGATGGGTCCTTTCTGCAGGCCGCCTGATGGTTCCAGTGTCAGCAAGCTAGACTCTTGCTTGTCGGGATTTTGCATTTAAAAATATGTAATACATTTCAGTTTTGAAAGACAAAAATATACCAACTCTGAGTCCAAGGAAATACATGCTTTTGGGGGGAGAAGTGCATATTTTGGGAAAACAAACAAGAACATTGCCACACCATGGCCTCCGGTGTCAGTGACGTGCAGCTGTTCCGGTTCATCAGTGAACGCGAGAACCAGCCAGGCGACCTGCCCCGGCGTTTCTTCCCCTAATCTCAGTCCCTAAGGTTCTTTCTTCCACCTTCTCTCTCTCCCTCCTTTGCTCTCCTCTCTCACCTGCAATTGTCATGCATCCTTAGCAGCTAAAGGTGAAATAATACCGTTTCCCACTCTCCGTATTTGACAGTCGTACTTCTACCCGCTAATCCATAACCCATTACATCTAGGAAACTCGCAACGCTCCCTGTCCTCTGCATGTCCGTCATCAGTGCTGGCATGTGTGTCCGCACCGATTCCACGGCTGCACTTACAGTGAGGAGCAACCAGACTGGAATGCTGGCGAGCTGCGTATTTTATTTTTTCAGTTGCTACACCTTCCCTTTTTGAAAAGGTGACTCAGGAAGTGAGAGGGTGTGAGGATGGGGTCTGCACAGGTGATCCGCTTAGGCCTCAGCCCGTCCTGTAGGAAGCTGTTTCCTTGGTAAGAATTGAAGCTCCCAACTTGTGTCCCCACCGGTGGTATGCAGAGGCTGACTTTCTGTCACACGACACATTGTCTCGGGTATGGAAAGCCCGTCTTGCCGAAGGTAATTCATGCACATGGTATTCACACTAATAGTTTTGTTTCATCCCTTGTTCTTTTTTGGTCTACTAAAATTATTTGATCAGGAAGGAACAAAACAAAAGCATAGTTCCTTGCTATATTTTTCAAATTACAGGTTGGAGTAAAAATAGGTTTGTGATTACGCAAAACACAGTTTATTCTTGAACTGTATTGTTTTCCATACAAACATCTGTAAACCCACTTTTCCCCCACCCTGTACACTTCTTATAGAATTCCTAATTTTTTTTCTTTGGTTAATACTCACATCAGGATTTTTTTTTCCATTGATCTTTTTTTAGATAGAGTAAAAGGGAGGGGATGAAGGGAAAGGAGAGAGAGAGGAAATACCAATCGGTTGCCTCCTGCATGCACCAAGACCAGGGCCAGGTACGAACCTGCAACCCAGGGACATGCCCTTGACTGGGAATTGAGCCTGAGACCTCTTGGTGTGCGGCTGATGCTCTAACCACTGACCATCACCGGCCAGGGCTTGAAATCCTAATTTTAGCCAGAACTCAGTTTTCAGGCAGTTTGATCACTCTCTCTCCACATCAGTGATGCTCAAACTGTGAAGTCCCGGAGCCTGGGGACTTGGCACCATAGAGATGGCTGCTCCCACCACACAGTGCCTGAGTCAGGAGACCTGGGCCCAGAACTTGCCTTTCCAGCACATTCCCTGGTGATGCTGCTGCTGCGGATCTAGGGACCACGCTTTGAAAACTGCTTGTATCCATTATGCAGTCGTAATGGTTTTATACCCATTAATAGCAGTAATTTAAACTCCATTTCTGCAGAATACTACATTTCTAAGGATTATAAGCATGCTTAAAGGTGAAAATCATTAACCCTATCGTTGAGTTGACTTTTATGCAGAACTGTCAGCTTTTGGAGAGTGAAATTCATCTCATAAAGTATTTCTGTTTATTTTTTAGCTATTTAGAGTTTGGTAACGAAATGTATTTGCTCTGTGTTTCTGATCAAAAATGAGAAAGAGGCTGTTGCTCAGTGGTTAGAGTGTTGGCCTGCATACCGAAGGGTAGCAGGTTCGATTTCCAGCCAAGGGCACATACCTGGGTTGCAGGTTCCATCCCCAGTCCTGTCAGGGCCTGTGAGGGGGACAACCAATTGATGTGTCTCTCTTACATCAATATTTCTCTCTCTAAAACAAAAATCAGTGGGAAAAATGTCCTCAGGTGAGGATTAACAACAACAACAAAAAGAATGAGAAAGAATGGAGAAGAGGGAGAGTGCTGGCCCGGTAGCTCAGGAGATGGGGGGGCCTCGGGGAAATGTCTTTCTGCCGGACTTGCTCACACACTTCCGAAAACCCTGGTTGGCACAGTGATTGCTAGATGTTCCCTGAAAATGGGTTACTGTTAAGAAAATGTAAGGTTCCTAGGAGCACCTTTCCAGTTGCAAAAATAAAAATTGTTTTATTTAATTGTCAGGCTTGTAGTTCAGTAGCTAATGGAAGTTTTATGCCTAGACCTTTACAATATTTCTAACATTAAACATATCTGAGCGGGCCCTCGGCTTCATGAAAGGGGTGGCCCCAGGGCTCA